ATTGTATGGAAATCCAGTATAGTAGAAGCTTTCTAATACATTTACATATATAAAAAGAACCTAAATAAAATTGTCAAATAACTGTGGATGACAAAATCTCAATAGGACATCACTTGTCTCCAAATGAAGCTTCTAGGATAGGGAATGGGTTACAGATAATCAAGTTATAAGCCAATAGGGCCCCATGGAAACTCATAAACTACATTGGCTATTCCCAAGGCTATTAATTGCTCTCCACAAACTGACAGTAAGGTATTAAGAAGAAGCTTGAAAAATCTTATAAGTTAGCATTAATAATAGCAAGATTTTCAGTAATCACAATAGAGCCCACCCCAAAAACAATGAATGATAGTTCCTCAGACTGAATGAAAATAACTTTTGAAACATACCCAAAAGTAAAATTCTTTAACAATGAAGACTAGCCAATGTAGAGTCCTTAAAGCCAACAGTCCATCTATGAGCCAGAACAAGAACAAATATAGCACAATGATCTTAAGGTTACAGTAGTGTCAAGCTTAACATGGTGCTCTCTAATTGGACTTAATACCCACACAACATGGATAATGTTACCTGAAACCGGAAGCCTGTCAAAGTACCCCAGGATAGTGAAATTAGGGATCTCCGCGGAGAACATACAATGGGCATTATTCTAAATCAACATGATCCCTAACTACATTATAAAGATTTGTCGTTATACTGTACATAAATAAGTGATGTCTTCATTCCTTGTCAAGGAAAACTTTTCTCTGCAACTGATGAAGAGCATTGCAGAAAACTTGGACCAATCAAAGAACAGAGTTGTGGAGCCTGCTGCCAATGTATGCAAATACAATTCTTACACTTAAGGCTGGGAAAAGGTATGGGAACTGGGAGTTCACTGTGAGACTGTGATTTACAGAAATGTCAGAAGCCTCACCCATGAAGTCTCACCAACATGGCTGCCGAAATATTATGTGAACATGATTGTAATGGATTAAGTAAAATGCTGAGGATCCCCAAGTGGTTGCAGTGGCAGTAACACTGCAGATTCCCAGTGTTTGTACTGGGCTGTGGATCCCAAGAGCAGTCAGTCCCAGGTAGGGATGGCACAGTTCCCCAAGTGGCTTCAGTGAGCCATCAGGAGCAGAAGGATGGGTACGCCACAAGACCATGCAGCAGGTCTCCAAATGTGGCTGGTCCCTAGCAGGGAGCCACGTGGTGGGCAGGCTAGAGACAGATTGGCATGTCATGCAGAGTGATGTTGTATGTTTATTTAGTAGTTAATGGAATGGAAGAGGAGAAGGGATAAGGGAAGAAGAGGGAAGAACAAAAAGAAACAGAGATAGAGATTGAGAGACAGAGAAATGGAAGAAGAAAAGAAGTGGAGAGAATGGAGCAAAGCAGAGCTGCCTCCTAAGGGGAGACAGAGAAAAGAGGACCCAGGCTGGAAGCTGAAGATCAGCTTGCCTATTCAGACCAGGAAGAGAGTGAGTGTGGCTTGTCTCTTAAAGGGACAGAGCAGACCATTACAGTGATAGCACCAGTAGACATATTAACATGAATGGGTAACATGAAGTCTCAGCCCTAGACAAAGAAGTCCAGGCAATAAGGGAATTCTGAAAGTAGAAGAAACAGTCTTTTTCAGAGAAGAGCACATTAATTGGTTATCCGGTATCAAAACTACAGTCCTAAAAACGTATACTTAGAAGTAACAATAGACAAATGAACCAAGTCTAATTTATGAATTTAGAAATGAGTGTTTGTGTGCACGTGTGTGTGTGTGTGTGTGTGTGTGTGTGTGTATGTGTGTTTATAATTTTGGAAAGGTCACGTAGAAATGTACTTTGTCTAGATCTAGTAAAATAAGTTTGATTCTAGAAAGCTGCTTTGAGAAAGCTAGGCGTTTTATTTCTCTGCAATTATAAAGAGGCCTCAATCTGAGTGGTTGGTCAATGAGTTTGCTGATTGCACTCAAATAATCTAATCAGAAATCAATTGAGATATATGCACATTCAAATCCACCTTAGTGCAAACCATCTCCCACTTTGCCTCCGTGCCTTTGTCCTTACAGAAGGCATCACGATTCTTACTTTGTAGTTGTGAAAATATTTCATGAAATGGTGCCATAAAATGCCCAGCATAGTCGCTGACATCAGGAAGGCAGCTAATTAATGGAAGTCGTGGTATCGCTGCTGCAATAACCCCCTACACTATTACTCCTGCTGATATCCAAGCTTGCAGAAGCTGAAGTCCGTACGGCCACAAATACACACATATTTGTCACTCTTCTCTGAAAAGGCTTAATAAACTTCTAAGCCAAGGCATAGGATCCGTATGCTGCTAACTTGATTTTTAATGGGTTTCGGTTGTACCCCTCTGAGGAGCTCATTAGCAAGACTGCCTCATCAGTTGCTGCGGGCGTCACACCAAGATTATTTTTCATTCTTGCTCTCTACTTCAACCTCTTCTTTGCTCTTTTACACCCTGCATAAAAAGGAAAGCTGCTGTGCTCCTAAGGAATTTTTATAATAGTCTCTTCCTCTTTGTTCTCACGGGGAAGTGAATTGGCCCTATCTTACAGCAAGATAGGGCTTCAGTCCAAATGTTTAAGCTTAATTCACTCATTACCGAGTCAGGCTGTACCTGGAAAAAGATAATGGAGATCTAATGCATATGCTAGCTAGCTTCCCAATAGAGAATTCCTTTTTTGAAAGAAATAATTAGATGAATAAATTAGATTTTAAGCACTGATCTACCTATATACTCCAAAGAATATGTAATTAGAAATTTAAGCGGTGGGTAGGTATCATTAAACCATTGGAGACATTTCTATTAGAAGCTAGAGAGCTGCCCAAATGTTAATTGTCTAAAGCCATTTTCAAACCTTTAAACAAGACAGAGCATACGTCAAATCGATTGACCAGGACAATTCAGGTAAATGTATCTGATAAATAATGTTGTATTTAGGAAAGAAAATCTACATTCCTGTTAGCTGGTTAACTTGTTTCTTTAAAGCTGTGATTAAAGAATTTGATGAAAGTGGTGTGGCAGACTGTGATTTCAAGTCCAGAAGTCAATCTTATAAGAAATTAACGATAACACAATGAGGGCATTCTGCGTGATACAGGAAAATGATAATACATCCTTGACTAAAGTCTCTCTCTCTCTCTCTCTCTCTCTCTCTCTCTCTCTCTCTCTCTCTGTGTGTGTGTGTGTGTGTGTGTTTGTAGTAGAATGCAAATAGATGTTTGTAGTGGCATATTAATTTATTCAGAACATCTAATGGAATGCTTAAGACACAGCACTTTGCTTTTCTTGTAGGACTAGAGGTTGGTGAGTTCAGATCTGGTTACTACTGAAGGCTCACTTCTTGCTTTATAGGCAGCTTCAATGCTGTGCTGTCACTTGGTCTTTACTCTTAGCTCACTTCTCTACTAAGAAGACTCTTGCTCCTCTATCTCTACCTATCTGTCTCTCTGCTTGTGTCTATGTCTCGGCCTTTTCTTCCTCCCCTTACTCATATACAAATCTTAACACACTTGAGTGATTCTTGTTATTCCTTTATGAAGGTATTAACCTCCTTGAAAATTCTTTTTCCAACTGCAGTAATGTTGAAGGTTGGGACTACATATGAATTTCGATGCACATAATATAAAAAATAATTTTTTATATTTATTCGCTTAGGAAGTTGACATAAAAAGATCACTGGAAGGCTCAGTCCGGTGTCCAATGTGGGTCTCCATCTGTATCGCCATCCATCGTCGGATGAAGGTTCCCTCTGGTCTTGCCTTCTTTGCTCACATTCTCTTTCCTTCTGCTTCTCGTTTGGACCTAGGGAGTTAAGTCCAGTGTTCCAATGTGGGTCTCTGTCTCTATCTCCATCCATCGCCAGATGAAGGTTCTATGGTGATAAGCAAAATATTCATCAGTATGGTTATAGGCCAAGGCCGTTTCAGGCACCCTCTCCTCTGTCCAGAGAACAATCTGGGGATCTCTCCTTAGACCTGGGATCCCATTTATAATCAAGTCTCATGTAAACCCTAAAATGACTCCCTTACTTGAGATATATTCTTCCCTGATCCCATATCCATCCTTCTTCCCTCCCCCCATCCCAGTCCCCCGAGTTTTCCCCATTCCTCCCCTAATCCCTTCTCTCTAACCCTCTCCCCTTCCAACAACCCCCCCCCCAGGCACCCGAGGTTACCTGGGACTCTTGTCTATTTCCAATCTCCAGGAGGATAAGTACATGATTTTCTTCAGGTTCACCTTCTTATTTAGCTTCTCTAGGATCTCGAATAATAGGCTCAAAGACCTTTAATTATGGCTAGAATCCACTTATGAGTGAATACATACCATATTCCTCTTTTTGGGTCTGGCTTACCTCACTCATGGTCCAAATGAGGAGCAGAAGGAGGAAGAACATGAAAAAGGAAATCAGGACCGCGAGGGGTGCGTTCACCCACTGATACAAGGGGACTGATCTAATGAGAGTTCACCAAGGCCAGTTGGACTGGGACTGAACGAGCACGTGATCCAACCAGATTCTCTGAATGTGGCTGGCCTGGAGTCTTTCTGAAAAGCCATTGACAATGACACTGGGACTTGTTTCCTCTGCACATACTGGAGTTTTGGGATCCAGTCTGTTTGGATACTCACCTTCCTGGACCTGGAGGGAGGGTGGAGGAACTTGAACTTCCCACAGGGCAGGAAATCCTGACTGCTCTTGGGGATGGAGAAGGAGGAGGAGGGGGTGTGGGGGGAGTGGGAGGGTGTTGGGAGGAGGGGCAGAAATGGAAACTTTTATAATTTAATAAACTTTGAATTTAAATATTAAAAAAAAGAAATAATTTAGTTAAAGTCAAAAAAAAGATCACTGGAGAAACAAAGAAATACACAGGTTGGTAATGTGTGAGAACATAGAAAATTAAAAGAAGTCACACTTCAAACATTTTAGTTTTCCTATGGATGATTAAACACACATTTGTTGATACTGATATAGTAATAAAATCTCTTTTGGTGGTGGGGGCAGAGCTGGAATGCAGTCACTCCACTGCCATGAATTATGCAGTTCAGCTTTCCGCATTGGAAAAATTGCAGGTGTTAGGACATCTGGAGTACAAGGGATAAGCATAACCCTGTGATATCTATGTTCACAATCAGGTATCCTTCTTGACAGGTAAGTTTAAGTTCTTAAGTGATTCTCGACTGTTTAAACCTTTAGGATATTGAGATTTGGGGATATGTTTACATATTACCAGGAAGGATTTTCGAGAACTCTTAAGGGAAAACACACAATTAAGTCACAAATTTATTTAGAGTACATGGAAGAAAAATGGTTTTCTGTGTCTATGTGGAAACCCATATGACAATTCCAATTATCTATCAAAATAATCATAATGAATTTATGTATGGAGCATAAAAGATATTTAGTTATAAATATCTGACAATGGTACAAGAGAAACAACACAGAGGCACAAGATTACTTGCCACTAACTCCAAAGATCTGAGTTAAATAACCTGGGGAGTCACATGGTAGGAGAGAACTGACTTCCACAAATCATCCTTTGAGTCTCTCTCTTTATGCGTGTGTGTGTGTGTATACATACATACATATATACATACATACATATAGAAACCACCTATCATCTACCTACCTATCTATCTATCTGTCTATCTATCTATCTATCTATCTATCTATCTATCTATCTATCTATCTATCTATCTATTTATCTTTCTATCTATGATTTATCCATATCTATCTCTACCTCTCTTACACACATACAATAATATTGTAATTAAAATATGAGTGTACTGAGACAAAAGTTGTCTCTATCTTGTTCACATGGAGTGCATTCAAGTGTTACAAATAAGAGCAAGAAGAGCATCTCTGCTTCTGATCCTACCACTTAGCTCCATAAACTTAGGCTCATGAAGACTCCTCATTATTGCAATCGGGTGGCAGTGCCCAATATGTAGTACACACTAGTGATTCCTCAGAGATAACTCATGAAAGCATGCATACCTTTTGGGTAAATATACCTAGTGTCTCCTCCAGGGATTTCCAGAAGAAGTGGAAGTTGTTGTCTAATCAAAGACCAGTAAAGTTGAGGGACTCTCACAGGCAGAAGTGATCTCAGAGGAAGAAGAATAAAAACACAGATGCCAAGGGTAAATGACTTGAGAAATCTGTACTCAGCATAAACAAATGTCATAGCCTGTGGGATGACAGTTCTGATTTACATCTAACTGACATATAGTACAGTTTAATGTGTCTCCAATGTACTTTCCAGTTTGCTTATAAATTACACGGCAACCAACAGTATAGATGGGAAGATTGGGATGCTAATAGTTCCCTAGAAAAGGACATGGCAAATTAAATGGAAGTTGTACATTATAAAATTCCTACAACACAACGTATTTTTCTCTAGCCATAGGATCAAGAAACAGGATTCTCTCAGCCCCATAATCTGACCAGTAAATTCAGATAGAAGCCACAAACATGAAGCTGAACGGGAATTCTATAGTTGCCTCATTATTTTGTGTGCCTATCTCTGCAGGTCATGCTTCTTATGGAGACTCTAGATAAAATTCTTTTCTCTGTTTGTACCTATTAATATTTTTAATTTAGGTGGTTTGAGTATGTAAAAGTAATTTGTCTGTCTTGTTCACTGTGAAAAAGAAGGCTGCCTGGTATTTCCATAGTTGTTTTCTGGGAACATCAGTTAGAAGCTTAGCATGATTCCAGAAAAAGCATGGAATGGATTTCAGACTCTTCAACTAAGATGGGAATTTAAAAAGTAAATCTTTTAAACTTTAGTTCCATTGCAGGGATTTAGGGTACAGATTAATTTCATTTCTGAGAACAACTTCTTAGTAGATTGGACTCCAGAATTAAAGCTTGACATTATACTATGTACAATGTCTGGGAATTCTCCTCTTTACAAATGAGGTTTCACTAAAACCAGAATTTTATATATAGTATCTCCCATTATTATCAAGCAATTAGACTTTGTGTCAATATCAGAAAAACTGAGTGTTTTCTGTAAATATCAATTTTATCCAGAACCAAAGCTTCAATTCTCACCTCTGAACTTCTGAGATTTAAGGGCTTGGTAGTTCTATGTCTACGAGACAGCTCTGTGCATCCAAGGACTTTTAGCAGTACCCTTTGCCTCAGCACAACAAGCCAGTTTTACAAAGCTCCCCCCCCCATCATAGATCTGCACAATGCCACACTTCTCTAGGGTAGACAAGAATGAAAAGGAAATAATTGCCCTAGGGTAAGATCTACTGGCTTAGAGGAAATAGAGTTAATTTCTTCAGATGGAACACCATTTACATGTTCTCACAGAAGAAAAATTTAGAAAACTCACACACAACCTCACTTGTGTAGACATAGCCTGGCTGTCTGGGCTTAAAGCCAGAATTAGAATTAAGTATATCCCAATTCCCTCAGACAATCAAGAAACACATTTTTCTACCTCCCTTCTCTCTAGCCTGACACCATTTCTTTTGGGCAATTAAACTACAGTACTTTAGACTCCTTGGAGGAAAACTGGTGTGGAAATGCAAAGTAATAATGGATCGTGGTTGGACAAGTAAAATAAAAGAAACGACACTAAAAATCTAACTATTTAAATTGAGAAGTCCATGCTCATGAATGAATATTCATGGGCATATTTTCATACTGATATGTTGAAGTAATATCAGACTCCTGCTAGCAGATTAATTGAAACCAAAAGAGACAGCTATTTTTGAAGCTACAGACGCTGATTTTGTGATGCTGCTGTATAATAACACCATTCCAGTAATAAATGGCAAATGTTATAATAATCTTAAAATGATAAATGCCAGTGATGTGGAGAAACATGTTTATTAACTTGATTTGCCTTAATGGATTTCCCCCTAAGAGTCCTGGTAGAATATAGGCAACTTACAATACATAAGACTTGACCATTGTTATTATTACTTTTATCATAGAAAACACAATTATTGACTATCCTTCAGTATTATCATGAATATTCAATTGCTACTATTTTAGAGTTGGCTTATTAAATGCCCATTGTTCATAGAAAAATTTCATTAATACCAATGTCAAATAAGGATGCAATTGTGTCTCTTTTGGAAAGAAAGATCCTGTTTCTTTGCAGTTGATTTGCCAAGTTGGTTTCACAGTGAAAAGCATATATATATATATATGTGTGTGTGTGTGTGTGTGTGTGTATGTGTATATATGTATGTATATATATATATATATATAATAAATGTATTAACTTATCTGAAAATCAACTTGTTTGGATAACCAAATTAATAATAACACATTTTACACTAACTGCATTTTATAATAAAGGACAATAATTTGGAATATTTATCCAATATCTGTCTGCCATTTCTCATGTTATCACTTTTACATTTAGCCACTGACCCTGTCAAACTTGATTACATACAAGCTTTTATTTCTTCTACTAAATCTTTAGGAGATGCCTAAACTATCTTTAATAATGTTCTAATCATAATTCAGTATCTCCTTTAGTTTTTTCCTCTTCTATTCATTCTTCTTCAAGTAATTCAAGATTTGTCTTCGTTATTTGCTCTGAACATTTCTGTCACTGTACCTCACAGAAACTGTTTCTCAGTTTACATATTTCCCCCCAAAACTCAGTCTTTAAGGGCAGGACATCTTCTTGCATGGGCTTCTACTTATTTCCCGAAAGAAACTCAGATAAAATGTTATTCAAATATTTGTTAGAAGAATACACTAATTCAAACTAATTTATATTATTTCACCAATTTATGGTAGATAATAAAATAGGAAATTAGAAAAATATCCGTTACTATATTTTATCTCTTTTCTCTGTGGCACCAACTGCCTGCAATGCTGAATTACTTAAAGGACATAAACGATATCTATTCCTTACTTCACAGTGTATCTCGTTTGACACCTAAAAGTTCTCTCTCTTTTCTCTCTTTCTCTCTCTCCCTCTCCCTGTCCCTCTCTCTCTTTCTCTCATTTTCACTCTTGCTGTCTTCCTTTCTCACACACTCTCTCATCTCTGTGTATATAATACACACAGAATCACTTGATTTGAATTTGATAGTACTGTCGAAGGGTATGCTCACTCATAAATAAACTGAAACTATCACCACAGAATATATTCAAGGTCTGTTACAATATTAAGCAATCTGCAGATAATTTGCAAATAAACTAATAGAGTGACTTGCACTGAGGGTTAGTCATGGTCTTCTGCACATATTTTTCATTAAAATGACACTTTAAATTGGCATAGTATTAAACTATCCCCTAATGACTCATCATTATACACGTTGATTAGTGTTCAGCTTTCAACCCTCATCAGGGAAGCTTCTTTTTGCCGTAGATGGTGATTAATATGGAGGCTCCTGATTAGTCAAAGTGCAGTAGTAAATAAGAGACTGTGGACTGCTTGTCCCTAAATAGTCTGTCAATATCACCTTCCTCCTGCCAGGACTCAGATTTTACTGCAAAAGTGGGGGGAAAAGCCTAGGAACCACAGGGTAGATGACTACAGGGAAATTGTGTTCTAGACACACCAGACCTGTTACTGTAAGAATTCACAGTAATCAGGACAGCAGCCAGGTAACCTGGACAAATGTAAGTCAGATAAAAATCCCATCATAGAGAGACTATGTGGACACAAAAGTCATCCTCTAGCCGAGGAATCTTGACCATTGACTGCTGCTCGGAAATGGACAGTCACACATCCAACAGTTTGTGGGAAAGAAAGACAAATCATGTTTTATTGGTTAAGGGAACAAAAGACACAAAGTTTGAGTGGGAATAAGAAGTGGGCGAAGGTGTCAGAGGCTGGAGAAGGAGGGGATTATTTTAAAAATACATTGAACAAACTTCTCAAATAACTAAAAGGAAAACTGTAAAATGGTATTACAGCAAGGAACATATTCTTATTTTAAAACATAGGGCTGTGAATGCAGGAGAAGGTGTTTAGGTTAAAGAAAAGCCATTAATTGATCTAGCTGAGAAAGGAAGGGATGGCTAATTACCATTTAAATAGATTGACACGCAGTTGCTGATGATCCTTGGGGTGACAAATAAAGGCAGCAGGAACTTAAAACAACTCATCATATCACATCTGCATTCAACAAAAGAAAGAATGAATGCATGCATCACTGTTATTGATAGCTGA